GAAAAACAAAGCCATGGAGTGATCTTGTGGAATCCAATGACGATAAATAAAAAGCGGAATTAGTAACCAGTTTTTGCAGAAAAATGCACAACGTATGGACCGCTACGCACCGAACAGCTTACCTGCCATCTGCTGCCTGCCTGTCTGCCTGCATTCCGTTTTAGATATTGCCGTGGCAACTATCCTTTCATCTATCGCAGGTGAAAGCAAATCAAAATGCGCCCACTGGACAACTTCCAGTGCGGCTACCAAACAAAAAAATGTAGGACTGGCAGCACCACTTCCTCATTTTTTGTTTTACTGACCATTGCATGGAGGGTACATACCATCGGTGTAGAAGAGAGCTACGATCACTCCTGTGCCAAAAAAGCATTGCCCAAGTCATCGGGAGTTCTGCGACCCCTAGCCTCACATCGAATTTTAGCGAGGTTTTGAAGAAAGTTATTCGGATATAAAACCAAGCATACACAAGCACTTATACGGAAATATGAAAGGTGCATCGGTCTCACACTACTTAATTAGGTTGTTGCATGATTTACTGATGGAGTTAGACGAAACAGACCAATCATTTTCTGCGGTTATGTGCAATTTTAAGAAGGAATTTGACCTCACTGATCACACAACTGTTACGCAGAACATGTTTGCAATGGGACTTCGCTCCGGATATGAAAAGAAGCTATGTTCATTCTTGCAGGACCGACAGCAGCTGGTCAAGATACCAGATGGAACCATGAGTCGTTGGAGAACGATAACACGTGGCACTCCACGATGCACCCTAGTTGAGCCGTTTGCTTTCGTGGCTATGGTTAACGGTACCGCTGCTGATATTGAGAACTGACTGAAGTATGTAGATGATCTTACCATATACCAAGCGTGTCGAATTGACCAAGTACATCGGCACTGCTAGTTGCAAGAGCACAGTGACAAGACAAGTGATTGGGCAACAGCAAGCAAGATGGCATTAAACATTTACAATTGTCAAGTCATGCATCTTTTTTTCACAGCCAAGAAACCGTCGGCACTGCCGGACATCATGATTCAAGTCTGCCACCAAAACTAAGCTCTTAAGTGGAACAGCATCAGATGACATGTCGTGGCAATCATATGTGGATAAGATTGTAACCGAAGCATCGAAAGCTTCATATATGCTCTACCATCTTTAGAAAGTGCAGAAGAGTGCCTTGAATATCATATTCGGCCGTAAGGAGAGGTACTCACGCATTTTGCAACGCTTGTGTATGGAGACCCCTCCGATAAGAGAGAAAAACTATGCCTGAGGCTAGGAAAACATATGCAAGCGTCTCCCGTGAACAGAGGTCTGCTCCCGAAGCAGCGCATGGCGATCCCCGGCAGAAGTACCAGGAGCGCAAGCACACTCCAAACGTTTTGTTGTGGTATGTGACTACGAAAAACAAGTATTCCGCATATAACCACTCTCATTAACACAGACGTATTATCAACCAAGTCGTATCCTGCTTCATATGTATATTATAAACACGTGTCATATGAGTGGATACTCGAAACCATGCTTTCCTCAGTAAACTGTCTCTCTGTCTCTGTCTGTCTGCCTGTCTGTCTGTCTGCCTGTCTGTCTGTCTGTCTGTCTGTTTCTGTCTGTCTGTCTGTCTGTCTGTCTGTCTGTCTGTCTGTCTTGTCTGTCTGTCTGTCTGTCTGTCTGTCTGTCTGTCTGTCTGTCTGTCTGTCTGTCTGTCTGTCTGTCTGTCTGTCTGTCTGTCTGTCTGTCTGTCTGTCTGTCTGTCTGTCTGTCTGTCTGTCTCTCTCTCTCTCTCTCTCTCTCTCTCTCTCTCTCTCTCTCTCTCTCTCTCTCTCTCTCTCTCTCTCTCTCTCTCTCTCTCTCTCTCTCTCTCTCTCTCTCTCTCTCTCTCTCTCTCTCTCTCTCTCTCTCTCTCTCTCTCTCTCTCTCTCTCTCTCTCTCTCTCTCTCTCTCTTTTCCTCTCTTCCTCTTTCTCGCTCTGCTGCCTAACTGTGCTCGGGCACAGGTTAGGGCTGGTTGTCTTAAACGATGCATATATCGATATATATATATATATCGATATATCTATATATCTATATCTATATCTATATATATATATGTATATATATATATATATATATATATATATATATATATATATATATATGTATATATCCTTTTAGAAAGGCATCAAGTTTGGGAAGGAAGGAAGGGTTCAGGTACTCCCTCCTTTGCATATCTAAATGCGTAATCTTTATGGAACTTACCATCATGGGCTATGTTCGTTTCTGTTCCAGTCATGTATGAATTTACAAGACTGGAATTTCCAAGATATTAGTGCATATCACTTATCCAATTACACGCATATTACCGACGACTTGAAATTTCATTTAAAAAGCACATGCATTTCAGTTAAGGCACAGGCAGCCAAGACATCTTTTCCACGACATCTTTTCTTTTTTACATCATTTAGCATATATATATATATATATATATATATATATATATATATATATATATATGTGTGTGTGTATATATATATACATACATATACATACATAAATATATATGCATATTTATATGTGTGCTTGTATTTGTATGTGTGTGTATGTGTGTGTGTGTGTGTGTGTGTGTGTGTGTGTGTGTGTGTGTGTGTGTGTGTGTGTGTGTGTGTGTGTGTGTGTGTGTGTGTGTGTGTGTGTGTGTGTGTGTGTGTGTGTGTGTGTGTGTGTGTGTGTGTGTGTGTGTGTGTGTGTGTGTGTGTGTGTGTGTGTGTGTGTGTGTGTGTGTGTGTGTGTGTGTGTGTGTGTGTGTGTGTGTGTGTGTGTGTGTGTGTGTGTATGTGTGTGCGTGTATGTGCTACTGGCTGAAAAGTCAGACGATACAGTTGAGGGCAAGGAAATTCGTGCAGGCTTTGAACCCTGCCAAGGTACAGTGTGCATGGTTAAGCGTAAGCTGAAAAATTGCATTTCAAAGAACGCTCAATGACGTTTTTATAGCTTAGAACTGCGGGACAGGAGATCTGATCGAGTTTCATACACTACCAAGGTCCAGGCTACAGTGCAACATACTATTTCATCGATCTCTGCCAGCGGCTCTTTAGGAGTGTGTGTGCGTGCGTGCGTGCGTGCGTGCGTGCGTGCGTGCGTGTGTATGTGTGTGCGTTCGTACCATCCCCCTTTTTGCGAATTTCTCGATCATGCTCCCTCTACAATAATTTTGAGAAATTGTCAACCATCGTCTAGATTGTGTATAACAACGCTGACTGTCATTGATTTCAGTCACATCTTTTGAGTGGACTGACAAATTAGCTCAGACGCAGTCGAGCTCAGTTGCATCTCATTTGCATCGCGTTTTTCGCTTTTTTAAGAACAGGGGAGGATTTTCAGGCCCGCCCAGATCTCAGCGAGACTGAATCGCCAACCTGAATCGTTCGAAATTCATATTCCGCTTAATATCCATGATCGTAAAGTGGTCGTCGGATCATAATCTTCATAATGACACTAACTGTTTGAGAACAAAATGTACGCGTTTCCACGTGGACACTGAAGCTGTACCCTGTTGTCTGTGTTGGTTGCCTTACTCTGGTAATCTTCCTCGATCGATGGCCAGCCAAAATTGTACCGTCCAAGATGTCTAACATTTGTTATTGTGGCAACAGCCGACCGATCATAGTTTTTACTGTGGATGTTATCTCTATCTTCTCGAATACCTTTGGCACTCAGAGGATAAAAACACCGAGTGAATGTTTGGCTTGCAAGTGTTTTCTATATGGCGTGAAGTAGCTGCTCATGTAAGCGTGGCTCGCGGAACTTTGGTTTTTAATTACGGTACCTCAGCAGTGTTCAAGCCTCCACAGAATACAATAATCCAGATGCAAGTGTCGAAACACAAGGTAAAGAAACATTTCTAGGCATGTGGTGCAGTTGATATTTCAGTCCCAATACTCAAATGGGAACGGGAGCGTCCCTCTGATAAGGTTATTAGCATGACGAGAACGGACCCATAGCGACAGATGAAAGGGAAGGAAAGATAATCAATTGGGAAGATGAGAACATGACCCACTGATATACCGACTCACCGTTATCAGCCCCCAATTGGACGCCAATTTGTAATTCACTATCAAAACCTTCCACGATCTGTTTTGGCTAGGTAATACTTCTGATGTGTAGGCTGAGTGGTGGCTGCATAGCATTAGGCCTTGCTGTGACCAGATGCCACCGCTCCAGGCGTCGTTGACATGAGGTGACGCAACTTTTGGCAGGAAAATCTGAGCTAGAGACAATCAGAAATAAAGCCATCGACCGCTGGGCCACTACATTTGTTGAATAGACTCGATCACAAATCCTACTACCCAACCAAGTTCTTAAGCTTTAGTGCCACGGGAAGTGTAAGTTGAACCGGCAATAGTATGGACTATGTAGACCTGACAATGCATGTGATCCGTGTTAGTACATATCCCCCGTCCGCAAAAAATTGTACCCAAAACTCTGGTGTAACGAAGAAGTAATAACGTATTCGGGCATGCTACTATAAATGTTTGAGAAAAACTGCGGTGAAACATAGTGTTAAAAACCCACGTAAAAAGTTGTGAGTCGCGCAATGAAATGCGGGCGCAGAAACGTATGCACCCATCTTGTTCATCCTTCAGAGTTAAGGTTCTTCAAGCTCAATGTAATTCAGGCTGACTGTCATTCATGGTCAGTCAAATAAGACATTGCAAAACGCTTCTTTCTGGGCGGAGTGTGAGGCCACCACGGTAAGATCCCACCAATTTCCAAAAGGGAGGTGGTGAAGCGTTCAGTCACCCACTGCATGTCCCCTGATTGATCGTGCTGACGACGGACACAGCTTGTGTACTAGCACATGCCATGCGTTACGCTGGTGGTCCGAGTGCACCGGTAACAAATGGTTGCACAGCTGCGATCTTTTTCGTTAACTGGAACGAAGTAACTCCGATTTCGTGACAGATCTGTGCTTAGGGGCTTTCCTGCTGCATTTTCAATACTAGTGTCGTTGTCTTCAGATCTCAGCGCCGTGGTGGCAACAGCGGGCTGTCACCAAGTTCCTGCCATCCGGGACAAGGTGGAAGCAATGGATATATCCACTATTCTTTTCACAGGTAAAGCAACTACACTGTTGCTGGCTGGTGGCGTAGCGATCACGGTTATTGTTTTGTGACAAAAGAAATACTTATTAGATTATCGGGCGATGAATATTGACTCTGCTGATTAACGCCTTAACGGATCAACAGCGTGGAAAGTAACGGATACGCCTCCGAAACAGGACGGACTGCTAACGTATCATGGGTTGACCCGTGGCCACCCTTGTGTCGTCACGGGCGGCCGGTGCGGCAGAAGCTGACCTGCCCCGCGCGCCGCAGGTCCCGGCTGCGCGCCTGTTCGCACCGGACGCCTGTACCAGCTACCCGTCTTCCCCAGCTTCCGTGACCTCCCGGAGGTGTTCAGGGAGATGCAGAGCAGTGGTACACTGCGCTGGAGTGAGGTCAACCTCATCAGCTACAGTGATGCGGGTAAGTGAGGTCACCTTCATCAGCTACAGTTACGCGGGTAAATGAGGTCACCCTCACCAGCTACAGTGACGCAGGCCAGCGAGGTCAACCTCATCAGCTACAGTGACGCGGGTGAGTGTTCGTGTCCAGGTTTGCGTAAAGCTTGTGGTGTCATGCCACGCTGCTCCAGGACATGCCGGCGGTCGGCTTTTCCGCGGGCACGTGGTAACGGCTACATGTTTAGTCGTACTCATATCGGGGCCGGTGAGGCTGCATAACCGTACTCATATCGGGGCCGGTGAGCCCGTATAACCGTAAACATATCGGGGCCGGTGAGCCCGTATAACCGTACTCACATCGGGGCCGAGAAGCCCGTATAACCGTACTCATATCGGGGCCGAGAAGCCCGTATAACCGTACCCATATCGGGGCCGGTGAGCCCGTATAACCGTACTCATATCGGGGCCGATAAGCCCGTATAACCTTATTTCAAAGGGGCCAAGGCTGGGGCTTGTAGCCTGCCGTTGCTACAAAGGGATTGCCACTTCGTCCCCACATTTCTGTCCTTCTGCCTTTGACCTTCACTTGATGCCTCCACTTTGATTCAGTATATTTTACTGTGCAGAGCTTGAAGCTTAACTGGATGTATTGTCTTGTGGTTTATTGATATGTAATCTGTTCGACATTACCGGCATCAGAAATCCGGAATGGTTCGTTTATTTGTCCGTGACGTCTCCGTTGTCTGCCTCCGCCCTTGATGTGTATTTTGCATGTATAGGTTTTCAGGAATAGGGTCAATGTTATCATGTGGCTAATAATCCACTGATTTCACCATTGAAACTAACTTTTCCCGCACGTCTTTGCCAAATATTATACGCGCTCGCCTATCAACAGATCCCGCCTTCAAAATGCGTTTTAAACTGTCTTCTATCATCTATTTGATCTCAAGCAGCAACTGTCTGTTCTAGCAATCAATATGTTCATGTAGGCTTGTGAAAAGACCACCATTTGTCCTAACATGCCTTCCACAAGTCACTTCTTGAGCTATCCCAGGGTAATGCAGAAAACCAAATATTGATCAGGATATGCCAAATTAACAGTTAAAGAGACTCACCAAATCTTAGCATACCAGCTGGATTCCTTTGGTGATGACACCGGAAAAAAACTGAGGGTGTTCGAATCAATCCTATACATGCCAATAGGGTTCATCACCTCACATACGTATGAGTCACTCTGTAATCCATGGCGGGGTCTGTACACGTGGCTGTTGTTGTACATGTGCCCTGCTTCGGATTCTGGCCGGACTGCGATCCGTCTCCTCCGCAGACCACATGGGCTGACCACTGGGCTGCGATCCGTCTCCTCCGCAGACCACATGGGCTGACCACTGGGCTGCGATCCGTCTCCTCCGCAGATCACACCCTGCTACAGATTCTTTTGACTGGGATACGATCCGTCTCCTCCGCAGACCATACCCTGCCACGGATTCTTTTGACTGAGATGTGATCCGTCTCCTCCGCAGATCACACCTTGCTGCGGGATCTGATCGACGTGCTGCGCTCCAACAATGCCGAGCAGGCGGTGCTCACCGTGTACTCGATCCCCCGTCAGCAGGACAACACTACGTAAGGCAACTTTGTGAGAGTCACGCAAGTGACGCGGGTGTGCTCGTTCTGACCTCAGCTTGCAAGTCGGGCCCGTCCACCAATGTACTTACCCCACACTGACACTTAATTCAAGCATCTAATGTGATGTCCAGTCTCTGTTCGTGTTGCATCCCTGCTGGGGAGGGACTCGGCTGTCCGCAACAAGCCACACTACCCAAGTAACTGCCCCAACTGGGATCGATCCGACTGAATGCTGTAATTAAGTTCATAAGTTCGAACTTTATATCATTGGCCCCGCCGCAATCCTGTCATATCAATGCATGCTTAAGCTGCGCGCTCGTAGGAAATGAGTTTTACATCACACTGTTTTTTGCGTCTACCCGAGTGTTATGGGTCTACGTAAAGTTTGTTATGTATTGTCTGGTATTTTTAGCATGGCCGAGCAATACAGTGTGGAGAAACACGCAGTAGCGCATTGCCGTAAAGAACGGGCCCCAGGACACCGTCAAGCGTCATGTATGCGCCATTGAGCCTTCACTAACCAATGGCCAGCGGATTGCTATAGCCATGTTTCCATCCATGAAACAGTGCAGCGTTGTTTCCCCCGTGCGACCATGTTTGATATGGCTGCTTTGACCGCTTTGTCGACAAAAAACGAATGAATCCGTAAGCGTAATTAATAATTTTCATTTGTGTATGCTTGGTGAGATTTCAGGACGGGTGGGAAGGATGTATTGCTCCCAGTCCCCCCCCCCCCCCTCTCGCTCCGCCTGCGTCTCCCGAGTGCACAGTTGTGACAGAGAGCGGCGCAGCTCTCCGAGCCGGTCTGGCCAAGTCACTGCTGCTGACGAGCAGTCTCCAGAGCCGGGCCTGTTGCAGCGGCGCCGGCAGCCCGGGCGCGCGACACGTGCTGAAGGCGATCCACGAGCAGGCGAACCACGAGGGCCACCAGTTTCTGGTGCTCGCCGATCGCAAGTCTGCCCACAACATTCTGATGGAGGTGGGCAGTGTGTGTGCGTGGGGGGGGGGGAGGCGGTGTTCGGTGCCTGTGGTATGCTTCTCATCATCCGTGGAGCGGCGAGCTATCCTTTTACTCGTGTAACTTTCGGCACTGCTGTTATTTCCGTAGCTTTTGGTCATCATTGCGCGTAGGTATGAATTTTTACTTACCAATGCATCTAACTGCGGGTAATTGCATAGCTGTTGCTTATCCGCGTCTTTCTACATTGCTTGTTATTGCAATCGTGCAATGATCATTGTTTCACGAAGAACAGTAGAATCAAACGGTCATCGCCGAAGTTTGCCATTGGAACATGTCTATAACTATTACAATTATAAAGGTGTATTAAAACAAATGAGAGGCGGAGCGTTGTCAAATTTTGAGTATCTTCGTAGGCGTTAAGCTCATTGCGGTTAATTTCATGGAGAAAATATTATCAATTTAAAGTGGTTACTTGACTAGAGGCTGAGTCCAAAAATTAAAACATCACCCTGTGTGTTGCCATGTATTTGCATCGGCTGGGCTCGTGCAGTATTGTGTAATATTACGCGGCATCAAACAATGATGCTTCAGGCTAGAGACATTCACATTCAACATCGGATGGGCGTGGCAATCAATCCCCGCCCCCTTGTGCCATGAAAGTTGCCATATGCTCAATTATTGGCTATTTTTAGAAGCACGTTTTTGTTCGCTAGAGGCATTTTCCGTGCATTTTTCTTTTTGCCCGTATCCCCTCTAGCCCTGAACACAATATTCGAGCAAAAATAAACAAAACAGCAAAAACAAACTAGGTAGAAGCCACCGGAAGATGCAATTATGCTGTGTTTTAGTCAATAAACTGAAGAAACCAGGCGTTAAATGACTGCATAAGATAAGCCGCTGGCACCATTAATTTTGCGATGGTTCAGTTGACTTTTTCTTATGCGTCGGCACTCAAGGGCCTTGCCGGAATTTGTATGGGCCATACAGATACGTTGTGAACGAAGCTGATAGTGGACGTAGATTGCCTATCGACACGGGGTCAGAAATTTACGCAGGCGTGGCCCACTCATGTTCGTCTGGGAGCCCACATTGACCTGGCCCACCCATGTTCGTCTTGGAGCCCACCTTGACATGGCTCATCTACTTGCATGCAAACTGGAGCAGTGAAAGAATTATATGACATAGTTTTTATCATGCAAGCTCATAAGTCTTAGAAAGCCAAACCTCGATGCCTGGCGCTGCAGTATTCGTAGATGGCGCAGTGTCAGCCCCATGGCTAACCCTAGACGACGGCCACCGGGCAGCCGAAAACGACAGCGTTTCTGAAGAAAGCACCTCTGGACGCTTTAGGAGGTAAATTCTGAGGTTTGAAAGGTAGCCCGGAAGTATGTTTTACCTGTGCAGCTTTGATGTGTGCAATAAGAATGGATTACCATCCGCAGAACCGCGAGCCGTCGCTGGAATTTGGCCGTGGAACTAGACAAGTAGAGGCGGAATCTCTACTGTCGTGTTGCTGTCGCTGCTTATCTGTTCATAAGACAGACGGCAAATTATGCACGTAAAATAGATGTCCCAATTTAATTTTCTAACATTTCGGACGGAATTTGAAAGATTTTTGGAAGCAATATTTCACGATAGCTGTTCTGGCGCACCAGGCGCGCACCGCCCGGCGTTAGCTTTAGTGGCAAACGCCGCTCGGCTCGATGGAAATCGCAGTCCCGGCCGTCGGTGTCGTGGCTCCTAAGATTGCAGCCCCGGCCGTCGGTGTCGTGGCTCCTAAGATTGCAGCCCCGGCCGTCGGTGTCGTGGCTCCTAAGATTGCAGCCCCGGCCGTCGGTGTCGTGGCTCCTAAGATTGCAGCCCCGGCCGTCGGTGTCGTGGCTCCTAAGATTGCAGCCCCGGCCGTCGGTGTCGTGACTCCTAAGATTGCGAGCACGCAGGCCCAAAACTTGTCATGCTATTTTTTCCACAGGCTGATTGAGAGCAAGGATGGACGTCGTCGTTTGAACCAGTTTCTTTCTTTTTACTTCATTTTGATTCGCCATACTAAATACTAAGAAAACTAAATAACATTTGCGGGCAAGGGGTCGAGCCGTGTGTAGATCACTAGGGGTCTCTTTAATGCAACGGACAGGTGCTAAAAGACTTCCATCCAAGCGAAGGGTGCCACCGGCTGCCAGGCTGGCGGCACAGGGGCTGGGGTCCCTGATCCATACGGAAGCCGTAAGAGCGATTAATCATGCGTTGGTCGCCGGCCTGACACCGGAGGCCCCTGGCCCGGGTATTTGGCTCTGGATCGACGCAGGGCCTTTATTGGCGGAAAGATCCTTTATCGCTGCAGGCATCCTATAATTGGTGTAGCGGGTCCTGTTCGGCATAGCGGAACCCGGGCTGAAATGAGATGGAGGGTCCCCCGTTGGGTAGTGGAGTCGTTGACTGACCCAGGGCTCTCAACTGTCTCCGACATTCCTTATTGTCTCAGGGCCCTCTGTTCGACGCAGCAAGGCCCACACTGACGCAGGGTCCCTCACCGTTTCAGGGGCCCCGACTAATGTAATCCGCGGATCGCGGCCCTGTTTTTGCAAGGGGCCCCAGGGCTCAGACTGGCACGGAGCCGACTGCTCGGTGTTGTTCGTCTCTGGCCGAAACAAAGGCCCGCATTGTCCCGGGATGAGTGTTCCCAATGGGAAGAGACCTTCTGACTGACATTTGGAAGCTCGGCCGTGCAGGTCGGGGTCTTTGATTTCATCTACAGCCAGCTCTTTGGTTCCTCCAATTGGGCATCTGCTCGCCGGTCCTTCGGCGCTTCTACGGTCCCCCTCGAATACTGTCCTAAGCCGACTCTTGGCTTTGCCAACACAGGACCTTTGATGGCACTGTGGACTCCTGATCAATACATCACAGGCTCGGCCTTGTTCCCGCTTTGAAAATGAGCCCTTAGTCCCAGACCAGGCGCTGGGGTCGTCGGGCGGGGAATTTATCACGTGTCGCAGTCTTTAAGCCTCGACCGCACTCGTGTAGCTTTTCAAGATAGGCCTGTGGGTTGAGCGGGTTAAGTTAAGCCCTAAATGCACAGCTTACAGGTACCTCCACGGATTTCACCCAACTTTCTCTCAGCGTTATGGAGTTGGATTGCCCCCCCCCCCCCCCCCCAACTGCACAGTTCTACTTTTCCTCACTCTGTCTCGGTAGAAGGTGGAGTTGCGCATCATTATCATTTTGTTAAGCGTCGATCCTCGAAACTGGGTTTTCGTTATCGACGACGGGTCGATGTTGTGTAACTTCAGACGTTGTTAGACGCATGCGGCTTCGGGAGCAAAGACTTGCGTTGATGTGTGCGACTTTTAAAAGCTTCCACAGAAACCGCTGACTGGCGGTCGCATGAGGCAGGGTGCAGGCTCTAACACATTACTCATTTGGGCATGTTCGACACAGCTAGTGTTGTGCTGATGGTCAGTGTCTGGCGATTATGTCGCCATCAGCTCAGCCGGCTGGTATTAATCTTCAGGTTTTCTTAGCTGTTCCATCGAACATTCACGTCGAAGTTGGCGGCGGCACACCACTCCATTTTAATGTATTGTACATTCTTAGCCTTCAGAAGTTGATGGGGGGGGGGGGAGCAAACTCATCGTTTGGGCGGGGAACAAATGAAATATTGAAAAGGGGTAGTGGCCCATCCATAGGAATTTCAATCGAAGCCCGTGGGTCCGAGTCGCTTTTGGTGCTCACTATTTGCGCCCAAATGGGATGGCCTACGGCCGGTGGCAGCCGTCCCTCTAAAGGTCAGGTGACGTCAGAGGGCAGCCCAAAGTGTGCCGAGCATTGTGGCCCAGGCTAGGCTTTTGCCACAAAAATTTCCCGTTGGCCAGAAGCTTTATGATCAGGTGGTAAGGTGATGGCTACTGGAATCGGCGTCGTTTACCACAGGGGCTGATCCCAGACAACCATCCAGTCAAAACGTTCTGACTTAATATTGGAGGTGATGCAGCGTAAAAGCAAACTCCTGGAAAAGAAGAGGATATAGATTGTTACAGGCAAAGGTGACACAGCTTCCAATGCCTTCCTTGAAGGCAGATATTAGTGGACCTTAACCTAAAGAACAAAATACCAGCATAGTAAAGGCAAACTGGTGGTATAACGACCACCAAAAATGGCATGAATGCCAAATTATCTTCGCCCAATGCTGCCTCTAGTTTCATTCACCAAGCTGCTAGAACAGATGGACCTAATAAATGATCCAGTGCATGAGCATCGGTTTCATAAAGTCAGATGGCTGCCGTTTGTTTTCCAGGCTCGTTCAATGCATTTAATGGTGCCAGAAACGCAGTGGCTCATTGTGTTTTGGGATACGACCCAGCAAGACACAAACATGCTCCAGTTTCTGCCGGACGTGGAAGACGGGGAGAATCTATCGTTTCTGTTCAACGCGTCCAAGAAAGGCGAATGCCAGGTTGATAAACCACACAACGCGCAATTTATTCCGTTATGCAGTGATGTATTGAAGCACCTTGGCCTTTGCGCTTTCGTTTCTGTGTCCACACGCGAGCAGGCTTTGGTTTCTGTGTCCACACGCGAGCAGGCCTTGGTTTCTGTGTCCACACGCGAGCAGGCTTTGGTTTCTGTGTCCACACGCGAGTAGGCTTTGGTTTCTGTGTCCACACGCGAGCAGGCTTCGGTTTCTGTGTCCACACGCGAGCACGCTTTGGTTTCCTTTATCCTAAACCTATTCACAACTTGAAGTGCATGAAGACACCTGTTCAGCAATTCAGAGACCAGCTGCGCATTGTGGCAAGCGCGGTTGCCATTTGCAAGCACTGCAGAGCCGCAATAGACGACGTTTTAAATTAACAATGAAATTGTGCATCTGATTAAGTTGAGTTACCTTTTTGTGAAATCAGTGCATGCGTGGTCTTGCCATCTCGCTCATCACCGCTCACGCAACGAGTTTTTTTTGTTTTGTTTGAAAGGGGGACAGAATCTCACCGCATGAGATCTTTGGGCAACAATGTAACTGTCCTCCTTTCCAGTGCCGAACTGGAAAAGTTCCAGTGGGAACTTCTCTGTCACTGGTCAGCATATTTTTCGCTCTCCACATATACCAATATCACATACACGTCATCACGCCGATCCTGCACGTGAACACTCCGCACTCACAGCAGCGTCACCCCTAGCAAGGCAACCAGTACACCCGGCTCCCAGGTGAACGACACGTGTCTGCTGGAGACGGTGACGCTGGCACTGCTGGAGGCCATGGACGAGCAGCACGGACGCGAGTGGCAGTTGCGTGTCAACGTGGACGAGGACGAGTGGCAGGAACTGAAGCCCACCGACGCCGAGCGCTCTTACCGCTACATGGAGAGCATGCGGGTACGGGACGGCATTTCGTAACGGATGGAGCGTGTTGGTGCATCGTAACGCATGAAGCGTGTGGGTGCATCGTAACGCAAGGAGCGTGTCGGTGCATCGTAACGCATGAAGCGTTTTGGTGCATCGTAACGCATGGAGGATGTCGGTGTATCGTAACGCATGGAGGGTGTCGGTGCATCGTAACGCATGGAGGGTGTCAGTGCATCGTAACGCATGGAGCGTGTTGGTGCATCATAACGCATGAAGCGTGTTGGTGCATCGTAACGCATGGAGGGTGTCGGTGCATCGTAACGCATGGAGCGTGTCGGTGCATCGTAACGCATGAAGCGTGTCGGTGCATCGTAACGCATGGAGCGTGTTGGTGCATCGTAACGCATGAAGCGTGTTGGTGCATCGGAACGAATGGAGGGCATCGTAACGCATGGAGCGTGTTGGTGCATCGTAACGCATGGAGGGTGTCGGTGCAGCACGATGTATGAAGCGGGTCAATGCATCACGGTCATTCTTTGCCACCACGCTGAGCATGGTGACAAACGAAACACGCGCTCTCTGAGTAATAAGACGTACGTACCAGCATAATTCGATGCATCGGTGTGGTGCGTGGCCACGATGTTGCTCATGGCCTCCGCTACAGTTATCGACAAAGTATTCTTTGTCGAGGACCTGCAGTTATCGAGTCGTGTGCGTGGAAGTTCAAGTTAGCACGTGTCCGTGTAGTTAGCAAAGTATTCATATTCGTATTAATATTTGTACAAGCCGAAAACGCGGCCACGAATCATTCCGTGATCAATGCTTTGCGTCCAAAACAGAAAATGTCATGTTGCCTTGTTTAAAATAGTTTTGTAGATGCTTCATTACGTGGTTCCTGTGGTATATTGGGATGTGAAATTTGCTGGAAAAATTTGAATAGCTGTTTGAGACTGCATAAGCAGTAAGAGAACTTCGCAATAAAAAGGGCGCTCTTGGCACAATAAGGGATAATCTACTGAGTGTGCCTGCAAGCTGCAGTCTCCATCTTATTAATTCAGATAATCTTTGAGGAATTTAAACAATAACTGGGCTCAAATTGTCCATGGGTTCGATTGGGTGAGTGGTGGAAGTACACCAGGAGACTGTCACACATGACATGTCCCTCCATAGCGGCGGACCTGGCGTGGTGGTTGTTCTGGTCACGTCCCAAGTGACCCTCCAGTGCCGGGCAGGGTGTTATGACCGTGGTCTGGTGCCTCCTCGGCAGAGCCGGGTGAGTGCCAGCCGCCGGTGTGCCGGCTGCCGGCGTTGGTCCCTGCAGGCGGCGCTGATCGGCGACTACGGCGAGGTCTCACTGCTCGATGTCGGCACATGGGAGCCGGGCAAGGGTCTCCGCATCACGGACGACCTGTTCCCGCACGTGAGCGGCGGCTTCCGCGGCCGGACCATACCCATCATGTCACTGGAGGTTGGTGCCCGGCCAGCGGCTACAAGTCATCGAGAGGATTGTGCTGCCATAACGCGTATGCGACATATCTGACGGTGAAATGAAAAACTTGTGTCAGCGTGTATCGGATAATACTATTTGCGACACCCAGCCATGAAAAGTAAGTCTAAGAATGCCGGCTAGATTGCTTTCGTCTTCAGACAACTCGTCCGGATCGGCTGTGTCACCAGGCGTTGAGATCAGAATGACTCCCACTACTTACAGTTTCCTCCTTGGCAAATTTATGAGAGGGACAGCCGCGGCTTTGTGTACAAATATACGGGCGTCGTGTTCGAGCTGGTGAACGAACTGGCATCGAAGCTCAACTTCTCGTGAGTATTTACGAGTCCATCGGGCAAGCCGAAGCATCGAACCCAAATGGCGGCTCCTAGCCTGTCTTTCGTAAAGAACGATCGAACATGCAGCCTGTCGTAATGAGAAGGATACCGACAGACTCTAAGGCATCAAAAAGCTATCAGGGCTGTCAGGTTCAGGGCTATAAAACCCAATTATTTGGCCCGGAGACATTTTATTTGGTCACCATGCGCCTCTGCGCCATTTTACGTTTTCGGGAAGCATGCTTTGATATATTTCCAAAAAACCAAGCACACAAGCGTAAAATGAGCAAGCATCACATCCAGAAAAAGCTTGCCAGTTATTTTGACAGGCCCGACCGCAAACGATGGATTCAGTCGGCGGTTTATTCCATTACTTTGTATTTTACAGAACAAGGTGCCTGTACAATGTGGGTGACTAACTTAGATTCCAGTCGAATAAATGCTGCCGTGAAAATGGCTAATATGAAATGCTCAAAGAATGGGACAAGCAGGAACGGAACCCACGGTTTATGGGAATGGCTAAAACAAAGGCCATACACTTTCATTTTGGAAGCGTACTGGTTTCGTCATCGGGTGCTTATTCCTCATTTCACATTTGCGGTGTTCATGATTTGGTCCCATAGGGCCAAATGCACAAATCTGATCTGGCGAACTGGTACATTACGACGCATAAAACGCTTCCAGTGCGAATTTACTGAGTATTTGCATAGCCCTGATGGCAGTTGATGGGTTTCGTCTCTTGTTTATCCCATTTTCCGTGCATTTCAGCATAAGATACCTGTGAAATGCGATGGGACCGAATTAAGTGTCAATCGAATAGAGGCTTGCGTGACGAGAGCTGGTGAATTGCCCTGGCGCTGCGGTGTGCACTGAGTGCTCGGGTCACCGCAGATACGTGGTGCGGGCGCCGCGGGATGGCTTGTGGGGCGAGGAGGTGTCTCCCGGCCGCTGGAACGGCATGATCGGCGAGGTGCTAGAGGGACGTGTCATGCTGGCGGCCGGCGCCTTCACCGTCAACGCCGCCCGCCAGCGCGTCATCAACTACACCGTGTTCATCGACCGGCAGCCGTACAACATGTTGACCCGCCGGCCGGACCGCCTCACACGCGCCCTGCTCTTCCTCGAGCCGTTCGCCACCGACGTGAGAGAGTGGGGACGTGATGCGTCTCCCCAGCCGCACCGGGGGATTTGTCACGCTGTACGAGGGAGCGGGGGGGGGGGGGGGCATCCTCGAGATCAGACTGAGATGGCGGGCTGACGTAGTCAGACATTACACTTGGCCCAAACCCCGCTGCCTTATTTGCTAACGCAAAAGTATGAGTATTGTTTCACGCCCAGCCATGAACGGAAGCTAGTGTGTTGGTACGTGTGAAGTTTGATGCAGAATGACTTCAAGACCTTGGTGATGGAGACTAGGGCGTCGGCTCGCGTGCCCTAGATCCACAACTGCTGGAGGTAACGTAGTGGTAACGTGGTACAACCGGTAGCGGTTCTTTCCAGTCGAGAATATTAATGCTTGTATAGGGCTGTTCTGTATACAGCTGCTCCCGCTTTGATAAGCCAGGAATATCTGGCCGCTTTTCCGCACTCTCTGGCGAACAATATCGTGCAGGTGCAAAGCGGCAGGGTCATTCCCACCGATCAAAGTCGGTGCAAACTGGTTTACTACGCAGGCAAGCGCTAAGCACCTCCATAAATTTGCAGTTTGCGAGCCTGACCAGTTATGGTAGCCGATCACGGGCCACTAGATGCTGCACTCTATCTACCGCAGACCTGGTGGTGCATCTTCTCCGCCGTGTTACTCGCCGGGCCTGTCCTCTGGCTCATCAACCGAAGCAGCTTCTTCTATCGCTACTACAACATAGCCAACACCAAGGAGTTTTTTAGCCTCAAGTATTGCTCTTGGTACACATACGGCGCTATTTTACAGCAAGGTAAGTGCTGGCTTACTGTAGGCTGCCGCAGCATGTAGGTGAGTATGTTGCTGTACCGCATTCGAGCGTACATAGGTGTGAAACAGAAAAAAACCTAACATATTCAAAGCTCCTGTAGACAATCGTGCGATCTTTCCCGTATCAGAGTTTTGCGCTATCTGACTTTCGTTTTCCGTCTCGACGGCTGCCTCGATTTATCGATCAGGCCAAGCGGCTTGCACTATGTGGCATCTCATTTCCCTCAAACTACTCCAGTTTCCTCTCCCACCAGCTTGTGAAGACTGCAAAGCAAAGTTGGTAATGTTGGCCAAGTACGTGGCCCATGGCTGGTGACATCTGAGTCACCCCTCCCCAGTCGGCAAAAACTCCTATGTACGGCCTCTGACCCTGCTGTCTGGATAGGCCTCACACCTGCCTTATCGAGGAGTACCCATATGTGTGCGGCTTCTGACCCTGCTGTCTGGATAGGCCTCACACCTGCCTTATCGAGGAGCACCCATATGTGTGCGGCTTCTGACCCCCGCTGTCTGGATAGGCCTCACACCTGCCTTATCGAGGAGCACCCATATGTGTGCGGCTTCTGACCCCCGCTGTCTGGATAGGCTTCACACCTGCCTTATCGGGGAGCACCCATGTGTGTGCGGCCTTTGTTGCTGTCTGGACAGTGCCTCTGTGTGGTCGAGGAATACCCATGTGCGCGCAACCTCTGAGTGTTGCTGCCAGGACAGTGCTCCGCTTGTGCCAGGTGGCGGCTCTCTGAACCCCGGCTGCTGCTATCTGACTTTCATCTCGCCTACGTGTCCCCAACATCAGCTGATGAGCAGCTGGCTGCTGCTGACTGCGCTGTGTTCCGCGCTAGTACAGTAGAGAAGATGGAGAACGCGGCTGCCGCCGACTGCGCTGTGTTCCGCGCCAGTTCCCCTGAGTAATTGGGAACGCGGCTGCTGTTGTCTGACAGCCGCTACCCCCCCCCCCCCCCTTTCCTCAACGGCAGGAGGCCCCCGACTGCCTCGGGCAGACTCAGGTCGGTTCGTGGTCGGCGTCTGGTGGCTGTTTGTCCTCGTGGTGGTCACCACCTACTCTGGCAATCTGGTGGCCGTGCTCACCTTTCCCCGCATCAACAACCCCATCAACAGTCTACAGGACCTGCTGCGCTTCAAGGATGACGTCACTTGGGGTGTCCAGGGCGGAACGGCCATCGCTTCCTACTTCAAGGTCAATTAGGTCAATGAGAGCGCCTCGCTGGTATTCGCTCCCTATTTAACAAATTGTTATATTAACCCTAGGATGGCATAGTGCTGGTTAAGTGTAAGTAATGGTAAGTATTGAATTGAATGCAGATGAGCCCCTGACAATAATTACATATGTGATATCCGTTAAGTAAGTTGCATTCTGGAATGAATATTTGGTCGCGGACCTTGCTCACAGAATCGAAAAGCTCAAGTATTTACATCATTTTAAATAAATCATAATCTGTAAGACAGATTGCTTAAGCTTTCGATGTTGTAAACAATGTCAGGTATCGAAAATTCATGACAAATACGACAGACGAAACGAATATCACGAAAATAATTGATGTAAGTAGGTCATCTTAATCAACTCTAATGTTACACCGACGCATTTCTTGGTAATCGTATTCCGAAACCGTCAACGAAAATTCATGAAAAACACAACAGACTTAATGAATATGATCGATACAACTAATGTTAAGAGGTGATCTTACTTAACTTCAACACGCGCCCGGGTGGCCGGCTAGATACCCTTCGCTCAAGTGGGGGGTCAGTTTGACCCCCTGAGATCTCGGGAACTAAGAGAGCTAGAGACACCAAACTTACAGAGTGTGTTGGACTGTACGTGAAAACTCACTTAGGTCAAAGTTTCAGGCTTCTAGGTCATGATCTTTGGGTCAAACAAGGTCAAGTTTCAGGTTGGTTTCCAAAGTGCCCCCAGAACCTGGATAACCGTTTCTAAGCAAAAGGTCACATGCCCATTCAAGGTTCGTGACTGTCAAGGTGACCAAAATCATACAAGACTGCTCTGAGTTTTGCATTTGACTAAGCGACAAAGATTACGCTGAGCAGTATGTTCCTAAAAACAAGATGTTAACCTGGGTCATTTTAGGCCAATGACCTATTCTGACCTCTAAGAAACCCACGTAAGATGTATAATGTGGTTCCTGCTATCAGTAAATTCGACACGAGCACCAGAAATTATCTCATACGGCAAGCCCCAGAGTAACAAAACAGGTTGGTTTTGACCTTGGCGTGACCTTCATGCCTGACCCTAGGCCAACTTAATTTGGTCATTCAACTGTTGTGTTGCCTAAGAAAGTGTCTCAGATATGTATGGCTTCGTCTAACACTTCGTTGTTGAGTCAGATTAAAAGATTCTCTAGAAACTGCCTTCGCTGAAACCATGCCCTGACTTTGACCTGCGATAGGTCAGCGACCTTACAAGGTACATTTAAATTTGTGATGCCAAACGATCTGCTATTCAATTGTCCATAGCTATGCAAAATTTAGCGCGACCACGCCGCGCCGGTCGGAAACCATTCCGGAAAAACCTTGGGGGGAGGGTCCATTTGACCTGCACCCCCACCCGAGTGCGTGCTAATATTACATTGATGCATTTGCTGGTGATAATTTTCATACTTAGCCTGAAGGAGGAAAGTTACAGTTTTAACCGGAGCAGCTGGCTTTGCGTTTTATTCGCCGTTCACGAGCCACTAGAGCAAATTGTGCTAAAAACACCTCCAGCAGAGGTGGATCGATGTTATAATCGTCGCCCGACCCTACATTTGCTTCATGCTACAAGCACATATGGAAACACGTTGTCCTTGTGTTTTGTAGCCGTGTGGCTCATATGAAGCCTCAGTATCGCTGAATGTGATAATTAACGTGTATTTTGCCTTTTATCTGAGATAAGACAGCAAAGATCTGCAGGCCATTCACTCGTACTGCACCACCAGGACTCTCCAGAGCCAAAGTTCCGCAAGATTTACGATGGCGCCAAGATCCACAATGGAGACACGGACAAGGATATCCTGGCAATGGTACGCTACGAAAACCACATCTACATAGAGTGGAAGACCAATCTGCTCTTCCTGATGAAGGAGGAGTTTCGACGCAACGATCGCTGCTACTACTCGTTAGCCAAGGAGAACTTCTTCGAGGAGTTCGTGGGCATGGTGTTGCCTCCGAAAAGCCCCTATCGGAAGAAAATCAACAAAGAGTAAGTGACCAGCTGTGACTGAGCGCACGTGTCCCCGTGCATCTGTACGTTATGTACAGAGGTGAGCCACCGGGCTCCCTCGGGAAATTAAAATGGCATGAGCCTGTATGCATCGACCGATGATGCGTGCATGACCTGCCACAGACAGCAGCAGCTCGTAATCCATTCCGAGTCTCTGTTCCGACAGGTCACTTCAAATTATGAACTAGAATGATTCAGTTCACAATTCGCAGCACATGCGTCGGTAAGCCGATCACCTTTTCCCAGCTAGTGACGGATGGCTGGGCAACAACAGGTCACCACAGGGCTGGTTCCTTCCGACGCTGAGCAAAACACTGTAACGGGCGCTTATTCTGAAGAAATGAGTGCTTGTTGTTTGACATCATTTCAGCCGGATTTGCCAATCAGTGCCGGGCTTACAAGTGCTTGCGAGAGTAGGCGCGAAGCTCAGGGCACATGTGCGCGTAACACCTTGCGCATATATCGAAGCAAAAGTTCTATCCGAGAAACGAACAAAACGCATTTACCAAGATATTTAGCCTAATCTTCAGTTTTTAAACATTGCGGCATGTCAACGTTATCATTTGTCGAGAGTGGGATCAACACACCTTTCGAGTTTTTCGCATTCCCGTTGATTAATATTTTCTGTGGGACTGAAGTCCGCGAGTACTTTAAGCATTTCACGGTTGTTTTGATGAATTTCTCTATCTTGTGAGGATTGCACGTGGTAGGCCCCACAGACGAGTACTATATGATTCCGAAACTCTGTTTGAATTATAAGTTGAACTTTTTATTTCATAGTGAAGCCCTACAGGACTTTCAAACGATGGTGTCAAATGACGGCAGTTCAACAGCCGTAAAAGAGTGTTCGGCAGTGATAGCTATACTTTTATGGCAATAGCATGGCAAGACAATGTAATAAGCGGGAAAGTATGCGACGGAGCTGAGCTTTGAGATTTTGGCGCGGTTATGCGTTCAGCTGGCGGTGATGTAAAAGGCATTTTATGCCTCTTCCCCTTCATCCCCTCCAGTCCTTCTTTCATGTTCTCCAACGTAAACAAGCGACGCTTCCTGCAAAATACCGTAGGCGAAGCTAGGTCAACACGATGCATTACCTCTAGCCTGGCGCTTGCAGTTAACGAAAACAATGTATCAGTGATACGTCGTGCGAAATGTGAATATGTGCGTTGTGCGTCTGACAAATGTTCCTATCCGGATTCCCACCGTAACAGGATATCCAAAATCCTGAAGGCGGGCTTCATCCAAAAGTGGAAGGCGGACTTTTGGCCGGCGCAGGACCGCTGCTCCTCTACGGCGTACGGCGGCACCGGCACACAGAAAAAGGTCGACCTGGATGACATGCAGGGCTCCTTCTACCTGCTACTGCTTGGTAGGATACGTCGCACCGTGCCATAACAGGCGAGCGCCGAGCACCCAAGTACCAGAGTCCCATTCCCCATTGCCAAAACGCCGTCCACAAGTTGTATACTATGGCGTCACAGGTAAACGCATCACTGCAGTGCTTACGCCGCGGAGCACAATCGCTTTCGTGCGAAGTAGCATGACAAGACACGTTATAGATAGCAACCTCAGGTAAATACTTTGCCAATGCAGAACTGAGCCAAAGCGGCCGTGACTTAAAGACCTGCTTTAATCCTGGATCCATTGATCAGTGCAAGTAGATGCGGGTTGGCATGAAGGCCGTTAAGCCTAAGGCCGCATATAACCGGAAGCAGATCCCAAGTGCCGGTTTTCGAACCGAAACACAGGTTCAGCGTCTGGTGTCGGTCGGGGCAGCCGCACCTCGACACGTGGACGCGACTGCAGACCGGGGGAATGGCCTCAGGGAGCACCCTTATGGCATGGCCGGCCAAACTGCGCTTCCGTTCTGTAGTGCCTCGGTACAAGTCGTGCAGTTGCGTCAGTTTGGGATTGATCCTCGCATGCGCTGCGCGACACACGCATCCATTCAAATCCGAAGTGCGCACGGTCCGCACCGACACCTAGACCCCACCGAAGTGCGCACGGTCCACACCGACACCTAGACCCCACCGAAGTGCGCACGGTCCGCAACGGCACCTAGATCCCACCGGAGTGCGCACGGTCTGCACCGACACCTAGACCCGTGCGCACCAAAGTGTGCACGGTCCGCGCCAACACCTAGACCCCACCAAAGTGCGCACGGTCCGCGCCAACACCTAGACCCGTGCGCACCAAAGTGCGCACGGTCCGCACCGACACCTAGACCCCACCGGAGTGCGCACGGTCCGCACCGACACCTAGACGCCACCGGAATGCGCACGGTCCGCAACACGTAGACCCCACCGGATACGTAAACACTTGGATCCCCGGTATCAGGCCGAATCAGGCCGAATGTTAGGTCCATGCCGGCGCATGACAGGACAAAGGAAAGCTACTGCTGTCAACGGCGTAGATATCGGACATTTCCTCAGACCGGCCACACTACCAGTGCCGGTAAGAGCGAGCGGAATACGCCGAGCACCGCCGCTCCCGCTTCCTGCGCCGCCTCTCATGATCGCGTGAGGTCCAGACGCCACCTGTTCGATACACGCCGATTGGCATCCTCACGTGCCCCAAACGTGCCGGTCTGCTGTGACCAGCCAGGCCCGTGGTGGGGCATGCAGAATCAGCCACGACGCCTCCCGTTTCAGGCCTGTTCATCGGCCTGGTGTCGCTGCTGCTGGAGTGCTGCTACCGCAACACCGACTTCAAGCGACCGCAGCAGTCGGCCAAGGAGGTGGTCATACAACACACGTTCTTGGAATGAAGTTCAAAACTCAGAGACGTTGAGTGATCCCAAGCTTCGCATCCGAACGCCTGACACCAGTCCCCGACTTCCGGAATCATTGATCTGACATCCGAACACCGCCGCGGAGGGCCATGTGTAACCGAAGGAGAGGCGAAAGGCTGGAGGTCTTCGGATGGCGTGCGTTCGCTATTAAAAACTGATGTCATGGTGTTGACTCCAGCACCTTTCGATTTTAATCACTTTGTTGTCATTTCATTTACCCTCAGCTCATCTGTCCCGCATTGGATGGCTTATCAGCTCAGCTGTCCCGCATTGGATGACCCTCAGCTCAGCTGTCCCGCATTGGATGACCCTCAGCTCAGCTGTCCCGCATTGCATGGTCCTCAGCTCAGCTGTCCCGCATTGGATAATAGTCTGCTTGTCAGGCAGTCGAAGGGTAGAAATGTATTGGTGCACGCTTGAACATACCGCGCTTGCAAGTTGCTTAGCCTCAGGTCATGCATCGGACGAGACAAGCCAATGCTGCAGTATCTAATCAGATTTGTTTACGCTTAAAACGTCCAGCGCAAAAGACGTACGCCTTTACGACAAAATGTCCCATTCGAGCGGTGGCTAGCGTCATTTATCCTTTCATGGACATACCCCGTCCGTATGTTCTCCGCATAGCGACCTAATTAGCGCAATGTCGGTCTCCAACGGGATTTGCAGCAATCGTTAGTCGGAACTCGAGTCTTGTTCACGTTTTTAATGGTGCAGAAATCGCACTGACCACCGGATCAAGTCCCAGCAAACATGCAAGAACACCCAATGTCTCTGAGGGAAATCGCAAGCTTCACTGCGGAGCGAACGTCGCTTCGCGAAAGGGCGTGGTGATCGCGCCGCACGGCGAACAAGGTTTAGCCATTTGGGTGCTAAGGGGACCGATATTTTTCATGCTATTGCACATACGCCATGGTATCGGCTGCCTGTTGCTTCTCCCCTCACTGAGGTCCGACCAGTCAGCATCGAGCCGGGTGATGATCAACCCGTATGTCATGCGCCCCGGGCTGGGCAAATCGGGCGGACAGGTCAGGAGGTGGGGGGCTCGGGGTTTGAGCCCAAGGGGACGGCACTTTAGCCGCAAAGGAGGTGTGTTGGAGGCAGAGACGGTAGAGGACACAAGGGGTCTGGTAGCATGAATTCGTACTGACCTCCCTGACACCCAATCTGGGCGAATCTTGCCACACTGACTGACCGTGCATTTAAAGGCGCTGCGTACCATGGAGACTCGACGGCCTTGAGGGCACGAGACCATATACAGAACCCGCAACAGGAAGGGATCGCGTGTTCCTTTCCTTTTTATGTTATACTGTGCATATGCACACAGAAAATAATACTATGCGTTCATTTAGTATGCAACAAGCGTTTGCACGCTTGTTTCGCTGCGCTCAGTGAACAATTTAGAAATTTCAATTGCATATGTCTGGTAGTTTAAATTACAGTTCTAGGTCCCCTGGTTGCCGAGATATCGCGCAAATGTGAAAAAGACTCGGCCACGGACCGCGCCCGGTGCTGGCGGTCTCCGGTGGCCGTCGGCGGAAGAGAGCGCATTTCACCTGCGCTCTCCGCAATAAAGGCAAGCCTATTCCATGAGACCGGTGCTTGATAGTGAGACGTAACCGGTAACCTTTGCCGTTTCCATGCACTGTCCGTCTTTGAATGATGGCAGCACGCACTGCCGTCGCTTTAAACGGTATTGCGTTGTATCGAACAGTGAAAAACGTTGGGTATCGGCCAAATCAATTTTCCTGCCCCGCGGACCCGTGACGTTACCTTATGTACCACATGATTGTCGGCTCGATTACCCACCAATGCATGCTACTCCCGAGTGCGCCCGTAACCTGGATGAAGAAATGTGGCACAACAGTTTAAAACTGGGGAAAAGATAAACATCCATCATCCTCAGTTTCATGAATGTTTTGCGGTTCCATTCACACCTCCGCCTGCCCTGGGTCCTAAAATGTGACGCAGAACATGTAAACCCGTGGAAAAGAGCAAACGCCATCCTCCTGACTCGTGTGTGCCCGACACATGTAGCGTGCCACCCAACACTTGTGACACCATGGGATTTCCCGTTCAATGGCCTATCGCAGTATGTCAGTCTCGTGTTACTGCGTGCCATAAGAGATAAAATCCCGCGTAAAACGTAAAATGGACGAAATCGGCAAAACACATCGTCACAGCTAATGCGCACATGTCACATGACACGTGCAGCATGACATCGTACACGTTTGAGTGACTGCCCGTTCGATTGCGTATGGAAGCATGCCAGTCCCGACGTACTTTATTCCCTGGTCTCTGAGATATCACAAAAACGTGTGAGCCCCTCAAAAAGGCAAAACACGTGTAAATCCGTGGTTAAACACGTGGGCGTCATGACCTGTGGCACGTGTCACCACACATTATCAGCAATGTTGGGAAACAAAATCCACGCACGAACGAGCACTGCAAACACAGCGACCGTCACACAGCGCGCTGTCGACCGCACGTGCGCGGAGATCCCGCTCACATATGGCCGTTCCGCCGGCTCACAGCCGGCCAGACCGACCGAGCGCCAGAATGCTCGTCGTTCGGTAAGACCTGCGAAATGAACTAAGTTGAAAGCCAGCCACGTGAACGGTCATTTCGGCCCCTAACGCCCAAGGTGTACGCCGGGAGCCAGGTCAATAACTAGTCGTCGTGGCGATAATGTCGTCATGTAATCACTTAGTCTAGGCTCATTTGCGAGCGACATGTGTCAAAATGTGATCAACAAAAGGCTGGTATAGAGGGAGAATGAAACGGCCAACACGCTAATGCAGTTTTCAGCGTTAAATTACGCATAGTTTTGATGGTAGCAGCTTGCATTCGGCGCCGATTTTCAAAACTTGGCCCGTTGCAAACTGTATTGCAATTTACAGCGCAACGTTGCGTTGCACAAGCTCGCAAAACAACTGGAAGTGTACCCGCTTCAATTGTTAATGTTAGCAAACAACATCCACACCTGTACGCGCACTGGGAGCCGAGATATAACCCAAAACGTGAAACCCCCTCAAAAATGGCCAATTCCATCTTTCCAGCACGTGTGCACGCACCACGTGGCGTAAAAAAACAAACATCAGTCCGATGGCCGATTCCATTGTCTACTTCACTGTGCAAGTTTCATGTCGCTGCGACCCTTGGTTATCAAGACATGGCTCCGGGAGTCGGGCCGTCGGCCAGAATCGCGAAATTAGCGTCGCCTGTGTTGAGCCTATGAAAAATTGAGCTAGTTTTTCGCTCGCTTTTGCGAAGCGCAGAATTTTGACGTGACTCAGTCACCGCCAGCAGGCCTTAGTCGTGTGAAAACTTCACGGAAAAACTCCAGACCGTTTAGCCTGCAGGCGATCCCAATTAAATGGCGGACACATACGCACACACATACACATCGTTCCTTCAGTAACATAGAAGAGATGCATTAGCGTTGAACAATGCGTTAGCTCGATTACGTGCACCGCTTGCACATTCTATGATAATCTATCATGAGCGGATTGTTCATTTTGACAGTCCAGTGGCTTATTTACCCAAATTGCTTGCACCACGCTCCACATGTTTCGAATCAAATGATATATGTATTTCTGTCATGCCTAAATGCATCCGCTGCTCTGAAGCGCATTAAGGTTTTTGTACGGTGAGGCCAGTAGTCACAGCATTGTATTGTATCTTGGACGGCACCGGACCGGCAGGGTGCCGTCTGCACGCGCACACATGCCCCTTCAGTTTATGCGTGAAACGCAAAATTGGCAGAATGGCAAAATCCTAAAATCCGCAGACACGTTCGGTGAAACCCGGCTCGTAGCCCGGCATCAGGCCATAGCAAATTGAGATCAATACATTTCAGTGCGGAAAGGAACGGGCAATCGTGCATGCGAAGGCGCGAATCGATGCGCGTTGACGCACCAGTGAGCTTCGGCGCGAACCGTTGACGCACCGGTAAGCTTCTGCGCGAACCGTAGATCCGACGGCTTTCAGGCGTCGGAATACCCATTCCCATACCGTGATACCCATTGGGAAAACAATGGGTATCAGATCTCGGTCACCCGAGCAGACAACGTGAAAATGCCTGCACCGTGCACGCGTGTGTACCGTCAGTCCAGGCAGTCCAATCCAACCATCCAGGCGGTCCGACACCGTCGGACCGATAGCGACGCCGGCAGGCGACGGGAAACCGGCCAAGGCCGGGTTTTCCGAACACACTCTCGAATGCAGCACGCTGGCAACTAAACCGAGCGAGCAGGGACCCTTAAAGCGGCACAGGCACACAGCTCTATTCGTGGTGAAAAATATCCACAAAAAGTATGTCCGCATTCCACAAGTCTGGTCGCAACCACCCAAAGCGTCCATCCATCGCTGCAAATACCAACGTTTCCGTTGGGACAAATTGCTGCGCTCATTTGTCGGCCTATGAACGGACCATACATTGACATTGGGGCTCAAATTTCTGCTAACAGTCTCACGCGTGGAAGATATTCATGAATATGAATGGCATGCTGTGCTTGTAGCTAAATGCGGCAAAAGAGATGATGCGGAAACAGCGTCTGGCAGTTGCACCGATACTTGCAATCTCCGCAAGTTTCCGTCCGTCGGAAACTCTTGTTACTTACCGTGACGGTATTTTACCAAGTAAAACACTGTCACACTGCTGGTGTGACACCAGTAACACATCCGTACAACGCGCAGCTGGCTTTACGCCTTCGAATGGCATAGTGAGATTGGGTAAATCATATATCCCGCAGGTTATGCACGGGTGCGGCGAATATTAAAACATGTGAGGGGCCATTCGCAGCCCGTGCAATGACGCGAAACGAAAACAATGTGAACGAGATACAAAAGCATGTGCGCACACATTGCTGCTCTTCAGCAGTGGTCAGCACATTCAGCTGGTTACAGTGTGTCGATCGCAAGACATGAGCCGGCTCATTTTATCACGCGTGATTTGTCAAGGACAGCATGAGGTGGAACTATGGGGTTTGGCATGCGGTGGCCGACTATGCAAGTCTTCAGAAAATCGGGCGAACACCAGCATGAAAAATCTTTGAGAAGCCCGATGCAATGGGGCAGCCAGGGCTTTTGTAGGAGTGGGGGGGGGGGGAGGGGGCATGAAAGCACATTCTTCAAATACGATATTTTCTATCTGGGATTGGTCACTTCATGTTTCACCCCAGCCCTACTCCCATTGAAGGCATCGAATAATGGTAGGGTAATATCATCGTTTGATTAGCGTCATTTTGCCCTTTTTGAGAAGCTAACCATTTTCAAGCTTCTGTTCTTGGTGTCCCTTTGTGTTTGACCACGTGCTGTCAAGCACAATAGGTGAGCCAGCGGTTCCACCCTTTGTCCCTCTATTCATCAAGGCCCGTCCGAGCTGAACATTCGGACTTGGCTTGCGGTAGCTGGCAATGAAAGTCGCTGGAGACGCAAGAACATATCGCGACAACCAATTTTAAAGTTGCATCGTAGTGCTGACACGCGTCATCTCACATACGGCTTCATATGTGGCTTCAATCACCAATTTCTTCCAGCCGAGCCCCACTCCCATTCAAAAGCATTAAATGGCGTTCAGTTCGTTCATCACGCATGCAATAGCCATGCTCCAGTTCTCAGCGACAAGTCTACCCGCTCAAACCCCACTTGTTTAATTTCAGCGCCAGCAATGTTGAAAAACGGTACCACTGTTCTAAAAAACGTCGAGCAGATAAACCATATTTGGTTTCGGACCTTTTACCATTTGGCCCCGAAGAGAAAACTTAATGTTTTTTTTTAAATTTTGCCGATTCGCATGGGGGCGAGCCCACTGAACCCCTTGCCGCGCCCTTGCCCTCGACCAGTGCTGCTGCCCATATGAATGTCAATTTGGATATACTGCGTAGAGAAGCATTTGTCCCCCCCCCCCCCCATTACATAAGTTTGTCATCGTTTTCATTGTTATCCAGCGCCGCCGTCGCATATAGTTTCCAGGCCCTTCAGGCCAGGCATTTGTATGAAACACGAGGATGAAAACCGGCTGTACCTCTCACCATCGCAAATAACAGTTGACATTAATGTAATAGCTGCCCACAACTGACGGTGTTTGAACCGTGGTTCAAAGCGCATGGGTCTGTTTTATGCTGGTGCTGAGTGATGTGGAGAGGCATGCCTGACGTATCGCAAAACCGTGCGATACCCGAGACCGATGTGTTTTGTATGAACGAACCCACTAAAAATACTCGTATCAATCAATCCATGTGCCCTACACACACAACTAACCGTAAACAGTGTTGCTGCCATTCTGCGAAGAGCCAGTGTAATTGACGCGCGCATCCATAGACACAATGCCTATATATTCACACAGATGTACCCGCTTTGTAACGTGATGCATACCCACTCACACAGACAGGGTTCCTGCCAGGCGCAGACGACTGGGCTAATACATCAGGGAGTCAACAGAAAAGCTGGCACCCGATTTGTGCTTAGAGTGTTAAAAGAAATCGGCGTTTCCGATACACTTTATAACAGCTTAGACGGCGGGAAGGGGTCGATATTCCTGGGGTAGAAAGGCCAGAGAACACCCAAATACTAACACCGCGGAATATCGGTCGCTTGCTTTTGACAGCTGCAGAAAACTACAACCTGTTTTAAATTTTGCTTCCATTTTTCTCTTGAGTTGGCGGGCATGATCGAAAAGGGAAGCGGGAGTGCGGACATGGTCCCACACATAAAATTCGTCTCCATATTGCTTGCATTGAAAATATGACTATGATGCATTAGATCGGGGCCTAGTTGTAACTTGGAGGCTCAGCTGCGGTTGCAGGGGGTTTGAGCACCCTAAGCTAAATACGATCCGACGTTCCGCGCAGGTCCGGTACAAGAATCAGGTGCAACTATTTCTCACTGACTACTTAAGTTTTGTGCCCTGGTATTGGACCATTTCCTAGAAGGCGCCCTCAATTTATCAGGTTTAAATTACATTGTTATGATTTGTTCGAAGTGTACCAAATCCAAATAGTAATCCACACCACCAAGACACACAGACATTGTAAGAAAGCTTGCAAGACGACACCCGTCCATGTTCGCGTACGCTAGTATCGAACCGTCCTGTCGAAAGTTGGTAGTAGTTCAATAAAGATATCACCAGATGTACGGCTGTGGATGGACAACGGGGAATGCGAGACATTACCCCGAAATCACAGACCACAACAAAACGTCGTGGCATTCCCTAACCCCAATGCAAGAGGCGCAGCAATGCAGAAGTTGTTCGGCACGTTTGGTGGCGAGGCCAGCCAAATGCGGCTCTGGACGGCTCTGGACGGAGGCCTGACAGGCGGCCGTTTGGTGGCGGGGCCAGCCAGACGCGGTTCTGGACGGCTCTGGACGGAGGCCCGACAGGCGATCGTTTGGTGACGGGGCCAGCCAGACGCGGTTCTGGACGGCTCTGGACGGAGGCCTGACAGGCGGCCGTTTGGTGGCGGGACCAGCCAGACGCGGTTCTGGACGGCTCTGGACGGAGGCCCGACAGGCGATCGTTTGGTGATGGGGTCAGCCAGACGCGGTTCTGGACGGCTCTGGACGGAGGCCCGACAGGCGGTCGGACGTCGGCAGCTGCCGAGCCGCGGCGGACGGCGCCGACGGTGGAGGCAGGGCAGGCTGTCCAGTGACGTCACAGACCATCTACCAGGTGCCGCACCTCTCGGATCTGGTCCGGCCCCACCCGGCAGCAGCCGCCGATGTACACAGCGCCAGCGGCCAGGTACTCGGGGACGAACGAAGCCAGACGGCGCGCCTTCGCGCCACCAGTCCACCTGCAGGTCATAGACTCAGTCGAGATCAAACGGCAGAGCAGTTCAGGGCTCTGTCTGCAGGACCGGCATCAGTAAAGTGTTATTCAGCCAGTGTAGTTTAATATGGGGCAACATTTACCAGTGACCCCTCTCTGGTATTTGTTGACTAAAACAGCTACCGCCAACGCCGGTACATTCGGGGCGGCCTCGCACTAGGTCCACACTACAGAGGGGGGGGGGGGGGCTGATGTCAGGTCAGGGTCACACAAGAAAATCTCATGCCACGGCAGGGCCACACAGGGAGACTCATGTCAGGCTAGGATTACACAAGCAAGGCTCACACGAGGCCGGGATTAGACAGTGACGGCTTGTGTCAGGCCAAGATAGTCACTGGGCCGACGGCTCAGACTCGGCGTGAAGGCGTGCGGCAAGGGCAGACGGCGCGCGCTCACCGGTCGCCGCTCCACTGTTCGCCGCTGTTGGGGTAAACCAACAGGGGCAGCGGCACACGGCGTCGGTCCACCGAGTGCAGCAGCGCGGCCGCCGCCACCGGCTCCGAACAGTTGACGCCGACAGCCAGCGTGTTGTAGGGCCGGGCAGCGCAGACGGCAGCCGCTGCATCGCTGAACAGCGAGCCGTCGCAGGTGCGCTGGCCGTCCTGTGCGCCACACGGACATGCAGGCCAGTGTCGCGGCGTACCTCGATACGGTTCCCATCTTGGCCGCGTCTGCTTCGCCTCACTGGTAAGTAAAACACTGCTATTCGCGCAAAATATCAGAGCAACGCTGGTTTCAGGGGGATTGGCCAACAGCGGTGCATAATTCAGTTACCATGACGTCCGAAAAAAACGGCATGCGCAGCTTGAGCCCGAAAACTAATCTGAACACACATGACTCGGTTCAGTTGATGGCTCACAGTTCACATCCTTCTAAGATTACCAGCATCAAAGACCACCCACAGCCTGCGTACCAGAGCTGCCTGTCGGTGACTGACCTGGCAGGAGAAGGCGACCCACGTCGGCTGGTCGGGGTATTCTCTGAGCAGGTCGAGCACAGCCAGCGCCTCGGCAGGTCCCGGCACGGTCTCAACCGCCAGCACGTCGGCCCCGGCCGACACCAGCGCCGCCACACGCGGACGATGCCACTCCTAGGAGTGCCGTACGAGACACGAGAAGTTGGACTCGTCCTTGACTCAAAGTGGAGTCAGAACATACTCCAAAATTAAACAGCTTTTGGACACCCGACCACCGCATGATAAACATAGCAAAACCATCCTTCCACGTTTTTGTTTGACGCAACTTTCTCCAATATTATGGCGTGACCTAGTGGCACATTGACTTACTCAGATCCTTTGTCACAACTGGCATGCAAGACTTCGGCGAAACCCTACGAGGCCAGCAACGTTCTTTGGGATTTTGTTAGCAGTCGCGAACGAACCTTAGACCTTGCATACATTACAAATGTAATTCTGAATTTTTATAGACAAGTAACACATGATTCAAAATGATCCTTAAACTTTATAGAGAAGTCCTGCAGGATTTCTAAATGATGAAGAATGGCAAAATGGAAGCTGTACATAATGTTTGCCATAAATGGCTTGTAGGTGTAACTGTTTATAGCATTTGAATATAAAAGATAAATATTCTGCAATACTTTGGTCACAACTGCCAATACTAAACCATTGCAAGTTCATCAGTTTTATCAATCCACACTGTCAAACCAGTCTGGGCTCATTGCAGACCAATCCTAAAGTATAGTACATTACCAGGCAAAATAAGGTATAAGGTATAAGGTGCAAGGTGTATAAGTATAAGGTGTTTAATAATCCATAATGTTTAAGACATATAGTACCATATCAAGTGACTGATCAAATTATTCCCATAAAACTGTAAAAGAAGTAAGGCAGAGCATGACAGCAGAGCAGCTCACACCTCCAGTTTTCACACCGAGCCAGGGTTTGACACTCAGTCACTCCATGGCCCTGAGTGCTATTATGGTATCTGTAGTCACACATCCTCCATGAAAGGGTGCATCACAGTGCATTGCGATTGCTGAAAGCAATCTAAGTAAAAAAGCACATGTGTTGAGCTATGGAATGATGCCACGACTATGCACTCCACTAGAGATGATGCCGGAGACATTTCTTAGAGAATGTCAATCACAACCAGTGCCACATGCCCCAAAACACTACTTACTGGTAGCATCTCAGCGCCAGTTGAAATTTTATAATACCAATGGTTTTTCAACATGACATGCATGGTGGCAAACAAGTAATTACCTTAAGTGTAACCTGGTCAATGCTGGCCAGATAATTCCCATTGTACTCTGATCCATCAGCTAAGCATGCACCATATGGTCCAATAGATCCAGCTACCAGGACCTCTGGAATAAACAGGAGACCAGTGTTCAGTTATGGTTTGGAATGGAAGGGAACGCAGTTTGAAAGGAAGCCATCTACTCACATGACAGCTGCATAACAAAAAGGTCTGAAACCACAATGGCTTGAATCACTAGATGTTGAGACCTGACAATACAGTAGCCCTTTTTGGCAAATGATTTTAGATGCTTTGGCTTTAATTCAAACTTCCAGTTGGATTGAAGTTTTGTAGATGAGCCAAGTGTGAATCATAGCAAAATACCTATGTTGATTTTATACCAATTTTCCACACCAAAATTACTGATCCACTGCAACCATGCTACCAACAGTTTGGTGCTTACCATGTCTTGAACTCACTGCAGCTTGTTTGGCTACCTCCACACTTCTCTTCATTAAAGATATTGCTTCCACAGAAGACAATTTTAGATGCTGGGCAATATTGCCAGTACTTGCCTGTCAACAGTGACATGAATATGTAGGCACCTGCTGTACAAATGCACAACAGTGCAATACAGATCATGAGCATATATTCCAATTGCAAACAAACATTATAACTGAATGTATTGCAGGACATAAAGCCAACAATACTAATGCAATTATTAGTTTGGGAGATACATACCTGATAACTGGCAGATGTTATTATATTTGCACCAGCTTCAACAAATTTGGAATGTGCTTCCAAGACAGCATCAGGATTTGTGTGCAGGAGATGAGCACTCCATAGTGGGTGGCCATCAACACTGTATCCAGATTCTTGCAGAGTAGATGCAAGCCCACCATCCACAACCACAACCATGCTGTTTATACCAATTGTACAAGAACTGGCACTACAAATCCTGGAAGAACAGTATAAGTATCCTTACGCTGTACAATGATAGCGCAGTCCCACAGCTGCGTGCTCATCCTGCTTTGCCCAACGATGACATAATACTCCATAAGATCCTGGATTCACTATGCCTACACTAGGTGAGCTATTTGAAAAAGACCTATGCCACTTACAGAGCCCAAAAACAACACATCCATGTATGTTGGAATGCTCAGGGTGAATATAGCATTCACAACTCTAGTGCTGCCATCTGCAAAACATCACATTCCAAACCATTATCCAGATCACCATCAAGAATGTCAGTGACACAAAGTCAACTGTAACACAATATGGCTGAATTGTTAACTGTAAACATGCCGTGTAAATGGCACGCACATCTGATATTGTAAGAAGTCAAGTACAAGACAACACAAGATTGAGGACAGTTTATTTCAGACATTCCAGACAATTCAGTCCAAAAAGATGTTGTGTAAAATCTATACAGTATTTTGACTGTGTGCATAAGCCCCTAAGCATGCACAAAATGCAACAAATGCTACCATAATGCCAACAACCACTGCCACAAAGTCAACAAACGTAAACTCATTATGCATTGCTGACGCCCCTGGAACCAAAGAAAACATGCATGCCACAAAGACGAGAATGTCTGTGCTTGTAATCATTCCTCTTGACATTCATCGCCAAATCGCGGAGGATATGCTTGCAAAATTGGCAGCAACCCAGGCTGTCTAACGAGGTAGAACCGTCCGGTCCGAAAAAGTCGCAGCATAAAGCTTGCTTGAGAAAAGAGGTAGTTTGGAAGCAAAGCCTGCGTGACGTCAAGTATACCATATTTGATGACGTCAGTGGCACGGAGCCCTGTCAGTTAGCCAGCTGACTGTTACACAACCCATTAGTTTGAATAGTGGGCATGTCTTGGTGGCGTGCGGCTGGCGGTTCCCCGTTGAACTGAGAAGAAATTATCCGTCATTTCGCTATTCGCACACATTTATGGAATGAGCAGTGAGTCATGGAACAGTTAAGCCTCATCAGAACGTACGATTTTTGCATGTATGATGATATAACACGGGGACATATGTTACGCGGCGTTTGTGGCGTATTGCATTCCATGACCAGGCTTGTCGTTGGATAGCCGTAGGCTTGTCTGTGCCGTTTGTGCCTGGTGGCAGAGTTGAACAGCCCAGCTTGCATAATTTACTTTGCCTACAGACATGATTATATGAACATTTGCAATATTGACTTGTAATAGCTCTCGCTCTTATCACAGTGATGTGATTGCAGTAAGGTAAGTAAAGCAAAACCCTATGTATTGGCTTTATGATGCTACTGTCGAGCGTTTCTTTACATCGGGCTTGTACACATATGCATAATAAAATGCTCACAGACTAAGCATTTTAAATGCTACCAATTGTTCAAGACAAACTGCTCAGAGCTCTCGTACGAGGCGTAGTCATGGCAACTGCGACACGCGATGCGCTACAAACGCCGCATAACGTTTAACCCCTAGCTATGTACACCCCACGGAAGAATATAAAATTCTGATGAGGTCAAACTATTCCGAGATTCAATCTCCCTTCCAGAATTGTGTTTGCATGAAAAAGCCGTGGACCAATCATTCAGAGTCCAACCGGGAAGCGCCAGCCGCACGCCCCCAAAACATACCATTCAAACTAGTGGGTTGTGTAGCAGTCAGCTGGCTAATTGAGAGGCTTCCGTGCTACTGACGTCATCAAATATGGTATACTTGACGTCATGTAGGCTTTGCTGCCAAACTACCTGCATTCTCACGCAAGCTCGATTTTGCCACTTTTTTGCCACTTTTTTTAATTTTTGAGTTAACCGATACTGATGACACCCCCCTGGCAGCAACCGCATCCGTGCGTGGCCACCGTCAGGCCCAGGCAGTTCTTATTTCTTGTAATATAGGACAATATTTGATTTCTTCTGCAAAATGTGATTTGAAATATCAACCGAGCTAAACGTTACTTGTGGCGTGAGCCCGCCAATCTCGGATTTAAGGAATGGACATCCATCACAATTCTCACCGAAGCGGCGTTAGTCAAGTTGGCACCAGTTTCACATTCGGATTCAGGTCCAAATTGCAGATTCGGCGGACTCCCCAAATAAACCTAAAACTTTGTATACTGATGCAGTTTAATCTCCTGAGCACAATGAGCACAAAATCTCGGACCGGTACGCCCAATTACCGGAGATATATCAAAATTACAGATCCCAATAAAAAAGGCGGACTTCTTCAGTTATTCGTAGGCTGTGCGTATACATCCTCCAAAACGTAGGGCGGTTACGCACCGGGCTTATACACCCTCCAAAATCTTCCAGATGGTTGTACGTGTCAAGCATACGCGCAATGGCAGTCTTGGAGGCAAGGAAGTGCAAAAATGCAGACTTTCGTGCGAGAAGTCGGTTCTATGCTTGATAAACATCAAACGATCATTGTGATATTGTAGCGAAGCGAACTACGGCAGTGTTTCAACATGTTCCGCTGCGCCGTTTGGAAATATAACCAACTCACGAGTTGATTGCGACGCCCCAAGCGACGTGTGTGGGGCTGCGCTTGCAGGCATGTCCAGCCAACAAAGTCCCATCTGTCTTCACTGAGCGTGTATGGAGCAAGATTAGCGGTGAGGATATTAATTTGCATTTGTTATTTTCACGCTGAATTGCCCGCCATCAGTTTAGGATCCCGCCTGAAAAGAGATGGCATTGCCGCAGTTCAATGTGACGCACCCCGACCGGTCGCCTAAATCGCACTGTCGGCTAGAAAACATGTGTCTGGCGATGGAAGTAGAAGATCCTGCCCGGAAAAAGGCTACTTGCTCCATTTTGCTGGCCCTGCAGTGTTTGATCAGCAAGAAACACTGCCACAGCCCCCGCCTGCTGCGGGAGAGGCCGCAGATGTCCACAAAAAGATGTGCAGGCAGCTTGGGTCTTATTTTGTTCCACAGAAAAATATAGATGAGTGTGATGTGTTCCACCAAATGATGCAATTGGAAAGTGAGTCCACTGATGCATTTGTGGCTGGCCTTGGGCACCTTGCCAGTACTTGTGATTTCACTGATTCTGCCTGGGAAATCCGCCAGCAGGTGATCATGGGAGTCAGAGATTCCAAGGTGACGGAAAAGGCCCTGCAACAGAAAATGACACTCAAAGAATTGCACTCATTTGCAAGAGGCTTGGAGCAAGCCAGAGCCCATGCATGTGCCATTGAAGCATGCCATTCAAACAGATTTGCTGTGCCATAGGCAAATGTCCAGGCACAAAACATAGTGCAAAAACAAGAGCCCACCTCAAACCTGATGCAAAAGAAAATGCACCAAAGCAACCAGGCTAGTCACAGTGTTTTAAATGCAGAAGACGTGCAAGATGCTACAGCCCAAAACATGGCCAGTGGGAGTGCTTTAAAAAGTAGGATTGCTTTCATTGTGGAAAGCATAACATGGTCACACTCAAACAGCATGTTGCAACAAAGGTCAGCATGGTTTCACCATAGTAAAACAGATGGACCAACTGCACCATATGCAAGCCCAGCATGAAAGCCCACCTGAGGAGTACCTCCTGAGGATCAACAAGTCTATGCAGGAGACAACAGCAAGTGAAAACCATCCAATTAAGATAACAGTGCAAGTGGATGGAAAGCCAGTGCAGTGGGAAGTCAATACTGGTGCAGCAGTGTCAGTGATGTGGGAACAGCTGTCCTGCAAGCTGTGGCCAAACAGGAAATTGGAGGAATCCAGACAGAGACTGGAAACCTATGCTGGTGAGCCCATCTCTGTGATAGGGGAAGTCAAGGTGATTGTGCAAGAAAGTGCTACCCCTGATCATAGTGTGTGGATCCAGCAAATCCCTACTGGGTATAAATTGTCTCTCCAAGGTGAAACTGAACTGGCATGCAATCTTCCATGTGAAGGCCTCACTGGAGGGAACAGCACAAGAGATACTGAAAAAGTTCCCAAATCTGACAAAGCCCGAGTTGGGGAAAGCCAACACTGAAGCCCACCTGGAGATAAATTTGAATGTCAAACCAGTGTTCTGCAAACCGCGATTGGTGCCCCGGGCTCTGCAATCATTGGTGAAAGAGGAGCTAGATCGTCAAATCGAAGCCAGAATCCTGAAGCCCTGCAAGTCAGCACAGTGGGCTGCATCCCTGGTGACAGTATTGAAGCCAGATGGCAAAGCAAGACTGCGGTAGCTACAACCTAACCGTAAACAGAGCCAGTCACTTGGAGCAATATCCACTGCCCAAAGTGGAGGAACTTCTCACCCAACTTGCTGGAGGTAAAAAATCCACAATAATCGACCTGGAATAGCCCTACTTGCAGATTCCATTGTCAGCGTGAAGCTAAGTCTACACAGTGGTCATCGCGCACAAAGGTCTTTTTGAAGCAACCAGACTGGTGTATGGAGTTTGCATTTGTCCTGCTATTTTCCAGCGCCACATAGAAACCCTGCCAGCTGGCATCCCAAACACCATGATGTTTCTTGATGACATTTGTGTCACAGGTCCGAACGACGCTGCACATCTCGCTAACCTGGAGGAAGTACTGAGACGACCAGATTAGGAGAACCTGAGAATTGACCCAAGAAAGTGCAGGTGGTTCCTGCCAGGGGTCTCCTACGTCGGGGTGCAGATCGACAAGGTCTGCGCGCAACAGAGCAGAAGGTAGCAGCTGTGCGAGACGCCTCACGTCCTGAAAACGTCGGACAACTGAGGACGTACCTCGGCATGCTGAATGACTACAGTCGCTTCTGCCCGAAGCTGAGTGCGGCTTGCTGCACCGTTGTATGCACTCCTGAGAAAAGACGTAGAGTGGCGATGGGGCGCAGAGCAGCGGGACGCCTTCAGGGCAACGAAGGTTCTTCTCTAGGCTCCCTGTCTCGCACACTTCGACGGTAATGCACCAGTCATCGTGTCAGCGGATGCCAGCTCCTATGGCCTAGGAGCTGTGTTGTGCCAGATGACACCAGAAGGAGAACGCCTAATCGTCCTCGCCTCCCGCACTCTGAACCAAGCTGAAACGGACTAAAGTCAGATCGACTGTGAAGGTCTGCCTCTGGTCTTCGCCGTCAAGCGGTTCCACAGCTTCGTGTGTGGAAGACCCTTCACGCTCAGAACCGACCACAAGCCGCTCCTGGGGCTCCTCGGGAAAATCAAGAACCTGCCAGAAGCCGTCTTACCACATATGGTGAGATGGAAGGTCACGCTGGACGTCTACGAGTACCAGCTGGTACACGTCCCCGGCAGTGCAGAACAGCATGCAGCAGCAGACGCCCTCAGCCGCCTGCCAACCTCCGAAACGGTGGCAGAGGCTGCAGTAGCTCCGCTCATGGAAGTCATCCAGATGCGTGAAGCTGTTGATGAACTGGTAACTGTGGACTATGTGCTAGAATGGACTAGAAAGGAATGCCGTTTTCTTTGAAGGTCTGCACTTCACCCGGTACGGATGAAGTCGTCAGAGGTGTCGCCAGCTTTCCTGCCGTACCAGTGTCGAAATGCCGAACTGAGTATACAGGGCGGTTGCTTGCTCGGGGGATGCTGAGTGGTGATGCCACCACGGTGCCGCCAAAAGGCACTCAAGCTCCTTCATGAAGGACATCCCAGCATTTGCTCTGTGAAATGTCGTGCCCGCAGTCAGGTCTGGTGGCCTAGGATGGACTCAGACGTGGCCGAGCTCACCAAAGTCTGTGATGCATGCCAGCTACACCAGAAAGCAGCGCCTAAAGTGCCCTCTCAACCATGGAGGTACCCAGACGCTCCATGGGACAGAGTACATGTTGACTACGCTGGCCCTGTAGAAGGCAAGATGCTTCTGATCGTGGTGGATGCGTATAGCAAATGGCCAGACGTCTGGATAACAAACGACGCCAGCACAAGAACGACCGCAGACCACCTAGTACAGGAATACGCCACATACAGCAACAGGGAAAGCCCGAGCAGAGATGCTGTTCAAACGTGCTCCAAGAACGCGCCTGACGCAGCTTCACCCGTCGGAGGAAAGGCAGTACCGCAGCAGCACAGCGAGTGGTTCTGTCAACAGATCTTTCCGTACGGGAGACCCAGTCTTCATCACAGAAGTGACTGGTTCGGCCTATAAGTGGCTCCCAGGAACCGTGCTGGATGTCTGCGGACCGTCTTGCCAGGTTCTGTTGCAAGATGAACATCAGTTCCGTCGTCACTTCGATCACATTCGTCCCCGTTATACGTCTGGAGAGGATTGACTGTTCGAAACAGAGAAGCACTTCGCACCCGGTAGCCTAACCTCACAGCCGTTCGTGGCTGCGCCCAGGAACGTGACGGCACCACAGCCGACTGACAGCAAGCCAGCGACGTTCGCTCCGTCCGCGAAAGCTGTCAACCAGCCAGCGATGTCCGCTTCATCCGTGGAAACTGAAACCAGCCTCCCGCAGCCCAGTGGCGCGCGAACGACGGAAACAGCCGATCACGTTCCGCCGCCTGTTCGTCCGGTACGTAGCCAGAGCACGCCAGAGCGCCTGAACTTATAGTATGTACCGTTAAGCTAGTTTTTGCCAAGAAGGGAGGAGTTCTGGTACTGTAGCGCAGCGAATTACGGCAGTGTTTCAACATGTTCCGCTGCGCCGTTTGGAAACATAACCAACTCACGAGTGGACTGCGACGCGCCCTGCCACGTGTATCGCATTGTGCCTGAAAGCCTGCCCAGCCAATAAACTCCCATCATTCTGCACTGAGCGTGTATGCAACAATCGCGAAATCCATCAACTCACTCTGAACCATTTCTATTCTCATCACGAATTTTCGGCCGCCGGGCCCGCATCTCCAGTGGATGGATGGTTGGAGTGCTGGTCTCCCGCGCGGTAAGCCCGGGTTGGAATCTTGACGACGCCCGCTGTTAAGTGGGTGGCTTCATAGTCTATCGGCGCGGCGTGATGATGCCAACTCGCTTCACTTCTAAGCGGAATGAATTGTAAGTGGGGGTTTTCATATCGGACAGTACCGTAGTTTCTAATGCTAGGGGGAGGGAGTCCACACCCTGCAAAGATACTGAGGATCCCGCGAAGGTTCACCGTAAATCTAACTTGAGTGTGAACCCTGGATAGCCAGTGGAAATGACGCATACGACGGCAGAGGCATGTATAATTACGTTCGGCAATTGCGCGTAAAAATTAATCGGCGCGTATTCGACTGCTGCTCAAAGGTGAAGGCACAAAGGCCAATAGGGAGGGAACCTGAGCAGTCATGGGTGCCGCAGGAGACCAACGCAGTGGCTCCCGTCAACAAGTATAGGGTCCCCAGAGCAAGCAAAAACTGAACTGAAGACCAGCGTGGTGGGCACCTAAACGATCTGTAGTGCCTCGACAAGCTGACCTATAAGTCCCCGGTCATAGCACAGGACCCTCCGAGGAAAGGGAAACCACTCAGGACTATGAATTGATACCCCCGTGCAATCAAGAACGCACGGGCAGATTAACGACACGAGTCTCGATGGGAGTGAAAAGTCAGCCGCAAATGAGACCGCAGGAAAAGAGCTCTCGAACAAAGTAGAGGGCCCCTGAGCATCGGGCGTCTCCGTGCCTTACCTTATAAGAGCCCTAGCAACGGCACTAGGCCCTTCAAGCAAGTAGAAAGTACCTGAGATTTATATGAAGGACCCCTGAGCAATTGAATGTATTCTGGAGTATGGGGCCCCGGAAAAGTGTATGTAGCCTTTCGGGTGAATGGGCAGAATCCGTGGAGGAAAACCCGATTGATCAACAGTGCTCAAGCATGGAGGCAGGAAGCGTCCCAACAGCACATTGGGCCCTACGAATAAGTGGGAAGAGATTACGGGTAACGTGGAAAGCTCCTTAGCGATCAGATTGACGCAGCAAGTGGACATATAGAGACAGGCACCCAACAGCGTAATGCATCTAGACAGCGTAATGAGCTCCAAAATTCCCCCAGCAACACTCTCAATCAGCGAGGAATGAACTTCGTTTACTTACGAACTTTTTACTTTTGCTAGCAATGGTTCTTGGTCACCTGTAGGCCCAAATGCATTCAATTTTGTTGTGCGTTTGTTGTAAGGAAACTGCGTCCGTCGGTTATGTCCATCCGTCCGTCCGACGGTTATGTCCGTCCATAACCGTCCGTCGGGCGGTTATGGGCCCCTTCGGAGCCTTTAGGTTCCCTCGACGTGGTCCATGGGACATGGTCATGTGCCTCCCCCCTCCCGCCCCCCCCCCCCCTCCACCTTCTCCCCCCCCCCCCCCCACCCTCTGCATCCGCCACCGGCCCGAGCAGCTGAAGAAATAGGGCCCGCTAAGAACATAGGGCAATCCATTCAAATAAGAAATGCCCAGGGCGCAATGTGCAGCGCTCTGAACGATCGAGTGCGTCAGAACAGGTTAATATATAGGGCCCCCGTCAAGAGCTTGGGGCCCTCCATTTAAATAGGAAGTATTCAAGACTTAATGTAGACGGCCCCTGAATGAGCGAGTGTGCCTGAGCGGGTGAACAAATAAGGCTCCCAAAAAGAGCGTAGCACCATCCATTCAAATAGGACGTATTCAAGACCCGATGCAGAGGACCCTTGAATGATCCAGTCTATCAGAGCAAGAAAACATATAGGGCCCAGTCAAAAGCGTAGCGCCCTCCATTCCAAAAAGGAAACACCCAAGACCCAATGTAGAGGGCTCCCGAATGCTCGAGTGTGCCCGAGCAGGTTAACAAAAAGGGCTTCCAACAAAAGCGTAAGGCCCTCCATTCGAATGGGAAGCACTGAAGATCTGAAGTATGTGGCCCCAGAATGATGCAGTGTGCCCGAGTAGCGTATCAGAAGGAGCCCGACAAGAGCGCAGGGTACTTCATTCAAATAAGAAGTACTCAAAACCCAGTGTGGAGGGCCCCCGAAAAATGGAGTATACCCGAGCAGATTATCAGATGACCCGGACAGGAGTGTAGGGCCCTAAATTCAAACACCAAGACCCAATATTTAGGGCTCTCGAACAACCCAATGTGGCCAAACCGGCGAACAGATGGAGTCCCCGACAAGTGCGTAGGTCCCTCCATTCAGATAGGAAGTACCCAAAACACAATGTGGAGGGCCCCCGGATATTCGAGTGTGCCCGAGCAGGTTAACAGATGGGGCTCCGGCAAGAGCGTAGGGCCTTCCGTTCAAGTGTGAATTTCCCACGGCACGATGTAGAAGGCCCCGAAGAACCGAGTGCGCCAGAGCAGGTTTACAGATAGCGCCCCCAAAAAGAGCGGAGGGCACTCCACTAGAAAAGGAAGTACCAAAGGCAGACGTGGAGGTCCCCTACGATCGAATGGGCCTGAGCATCTTATCAGATTGGGGCCCCGACAGGAGCTTAAGGCCCTCCATTCAAATAAGAAATACCTAAACTCCATTCGGAGGGCCCCGAAAGATGAGTGTACCTGAACAGGTTATCAGATAACCCCGATACGGACAGAGGGCCCTAAATTCAAACGCTGAGAACCGATGTGCAGGGCCCACCATCAATCCAGTGTGGGCGAGGAGGCGAACAGAGGGGACCCCCGACAATTGCGTAGGGCCCCATTCAAATAGCATGTGCCTAAGGCCCAATATAGAGGCCCCCCTCCCTCTCGAACGGTCGAATGTCCCCGAGCAGGCTATCAGATAGCCCCCCCCCCCCTCCCACAGACGCTTAGGCCCCCCATTCAGAAAAGAAGTACCAAAAACCAGGTGTAGACGGTCCCCAAACGACTGAGTGCGCCCAAGCAGGCCATTAGATGGGCCCCCGATAAGAGTGTAGGGCCCTAAGCAAGTGACAGAGAATTGGAAACGCCTAAGACCAATGTAGAGCACCCATGGGCATATCGCAAGTGTGTCGGTAGGTTAACCGACACTCATGTAAAGGGCCGCTGGGCAACCGAGAGTACCCCGGCTGGTTAAGGTATGGGACTCTGGCTACCGCTCACAGAGCCTTTCTGGCGAATGGAAATAATCCGAGGAAGGGCCCGCAATTGACAAGAGTTCCTCGGCACGCTAACAGCAAGGGCCCCAACAACAGCGCAGGGCCCTCGGAACAAATGCAAAGAAATGAAGGACAATGTGGAATGCTCCTAAACGACCGAAATGAACCTGCAAGTGACATATAGTTTCCCGGAAACAGCATGGGGCCCTAGCCGGTGTAATGGGGCTT